CATCGATTATTCCCTAAGCGGCCAGGCCAATGGGAAACAGTGCTAATAAAATGGAACGACTTTGTCAGGACGAATCATGGCTTTGTGGTGGAACCTCAGACTGAGATGCTTCGACAGAAGGTCTTGACCGTGGGTATTGGACTAACAGATCGTGTTGACGGTCCGTTTGAGCTGTGTATCGAGAGAGCGTGGGCCACCAACGATCCCAGTGAAGTGGAAGTCACAGAAGAACCCGAGGCTAAGACTCTTACGGAGGGCGGCCAGCTGAGGAACAAGAAGGGAGAAAAAGTACGGTGGTAGACAACAAGCATTGCTGGTGTTATATGGGGAATATGGCATCATTGCGTGTGTATTCATAAAGCTTCATGATCTTGGATAAGAATCCCCTTTAGGGCTGGCTGACATAGTACCCGTCTCTGTATAAATAAATGGTATAATGAACTCCCATATCTCGTTTCTAGCCGTGCCAATGATTCTTGTTTGGCATTACCGATGCCTATCCGTCAAGACTGAGTGATTCAGCAGTTTTCCGCAATGATACGTACGCTGCAGCGTAATCTGCAGCCAGAACCATATCCCCAGTCAGTTTCATGATCATTGCCTTCTTTGCCATCATTTGGCATTGCATATTGATGTCTTCGATACTTGAGTAATGGTCAAAAGACTTCTGCACAGCTGCGAGAGCTTTCGTCATGTATTCCGATCGTTTGGCTGACTTGGGTTCGCATTTACCAGCAAGTCCCATGTTGGCATCGGCGAGGTAGCTGTAGAGCTGGGCTGTCAGACTCTCAGTCTCACACTCCAGGGAACGAGGTATGACAGCCAACAGAAGCTGAGAAGCTGCTTCAAATTCCTTCAAAGAAACCAGAATATTTGACACAGAACCGATCGCTTGCCAGAGGCAGGGAATGAGACGAGCTCCCCACGATATGCTCGCTGCTCGCATTGCTGTTGTAAACCCTCTCTGCGGCCGGCCACACTGATCAAGAAGGGAGGCTTTTAGGAGCAAGAGTTTGACCTTAAGTGCCACATCCTTCTTCTCATTCTCTAATTCTGACATCATGCTATCAACTTTGGCAAAGGCAGCCTGAAGATCTCCACGACGGGTGAGATAGTCAATATGGAGGGTGTCCACCAAGAACGCCACATCAGGTTCAAGGTCATCCATCTTTGATTGAAGGAGCTGAGACAGAAGCCGTTCAGCTCCTTCGAGGTTGTTGTGATGCAAGTCCCTTTTCAGCTTGATGACACCTCGGTACTTGTGCCAGTACTGACTAGGCTTCCAGGACCTCAGTGAATTATCCTCCAAGTCTTCCAATTTAGTCATTGCATCGTCATAGTTTCCCTGTGAAGCAAGTAATAGAGCGAGTCGGCAAGTTAACTTCAGCTCATCATCGAAGATGGCATTTCGGGCGTGGCATTTCAGGAAGACCTCGCAGGTTGCTGACGATAGGGTCGAGAGTCCGAGCCTGTCCCATAGAGCTGAAGTGAGAGAAAGGTGTGATCCAAACATGTTTTTCATGTTCCTCTCGACGATAATGTGAGAGCTTCGCACAATCGACTCAAAAGCTGTAGCCACACTGTCACCATTCAATAGTCCGAGTTTTGCTTCGCTGAGGAGAACTGAGCTCCAGAGCGTGAACATGCCTGTCTCTTTGGCCTTTACACGGAGGAAAGCCAAGTTTTCTTTGCCAGTACCGAGCATGCTGGTCGATTCCAGATTCTGGACGAGATCAGGATGGGCACGCCCGAAGTGGAAGAGCCAGTTCAAGGCAAAGTTGAGGCAAGTCATGTCTCGGTTCTCTCGCGCTGTCGACACGGTTTCAAGCATGGCTGCTACAGCTTCTTTGTAGCAACCGAAGTCGGCTTGCAAAACAGCCAAGTTCATCAAAGCATACTGGTAGAACAGGCGATCTCTGTTCTGCATGGTGTAGTCAAAGTAGCGGTGCAGATAGTCGAATGCAGTGGGATAGTCTCCAGCTCTCCACGCATCGAGGAATCTGCCCCACGTTAGCTAAAAGGTTCACCGATATTGATTGAAGGTAACGTACTTGAGATAATGGGTGAGACTAGGAATGAGATAGCTGTCGTTGAGTAGATCATGAAACTGATGACGGATTTCGAGGGGTATTCTGTTTCCAAATTCTAAACATGTCAGTACGCAAGATCATCGGAGTGTGAGAGTGACTTACTCTGCATCTGCTCGATTTGGAACTCGAGGAGACTCTCGATGTCATCTGTGCTCACAGGGAGCGATCCACTTTGATCTCCTGTGAGCATGTCACCGTACGCCACAGAGGCCAAGTCCATGACGCTCTGGTGGTCCCAGTCTTCCTGCTCGCCCATCAAGAGAACATTGTCGAAGCTTAGCCGCCCGAAGCTTGGAATCCTGCGCTTGAGATAAGGGGCCGTTGGTTGTCGATATCGCACAAAGTGCTTCCATAGCTCTGCACAGTCATGGAAGGGTAATCGCTGGTATTCGAGTCGCGATCTGCGCACAAAGGCTCCAAAGGGGGAGTTCGCTGAGAGCTTGATGCCTTCTTCCTCTTCCACTGGCTGGCCTAACTCAGCCAGTCTCTTACGCTCCTCCTTAGTCTTGGCCAACAAGCCAGATAGGTTATCGAAGAAGTTGTGCAGTGCATCCAACGAGTTGATATTCCACAGCTTGCTTAGAAATTGATCCCATAGTTTTCGTCCAGGCATACCCATGAGAAAGGGGTAGCTCCCAAGAAGCTTCTCAAACTCTTTGATGCTTATGACGAGGCTGACGGTTTTCTCTGCTTTGCTCCATCTTTCGGACTGATCGGCGGATGTTTTTGGTGAAGAATGGTCCATGAGATGAGAAGTGACGAAGGAGAGCACAGGAAGGATAGCATCACTTGGTACAGCTCCTTCAACATAGAGCTCCACGAGAGCGAGTAGGCCAATCTTGGCCGGGTTGAGATAACGAGCCATTTTCAGGCGGAAACTATCACACGATTATTGAGAGTAACGGTAAATGATGAAAGAGTGAAGAGTCACGGGGTGAGAACAGGGTGAGAACGGCTCAAGTGCCAATGCCCTTCAATTCGGCACCAAGACGCGCCTGCCAAATTGTTAACACATAGAAACGCTCCTGTCCAGACAAAATCTAGCTACCTTAATGATATTCTGACCTTCCCATCTGAATCAACAAACTCTCATTCGATGAGAATAACAACTGTTGTCTCTTGGTTGGCGCGTCTGGTCGCGATGTTTCGTTACTGGTGTTTGTTATTTGGCCGGGGCATCTTCGGAGTATCCCTGTCAAGACGACTTAAAGTGGGATGACACAATCTCAATTGGTAGATATGCATCACGACGTCAAAAGGGCAGAATAACAGGATATACAGTGAATTGATTACAATTTTAATCATATTAATCCAAGCTTGATGAATTATTTATTGATAAGGGAACCTGTTGAATATAAGTCCTAACGTAGACAAGATCTGTCTATGGCCTGAATCTCGAGAATGGAAACCAGATGAAGAGAATAATGAGCTTAGATGATGTCAGACAATACTTAGAACATGCTTAGAAAAGAATACGGAGTAAATTCAGGCAGAACTTAGAAGAAAATGACATGATATTAGTGGTTTTTAAGACAAGATTTAGACAAGACTTGCAGGCGTTTTAGATGAGAAATGTAGAAACCTGGACTAAAATTTAGAGCTTTACAGACATAGATGTGAAGATGGCCGATAAAAATTAGACGACGGATGTCTATACACAGAGAATGATAAGGCTGAAGCTAAACCAGGTAGTAGCTCTAGAAGACAAGGAAACACTCAACGACCTAGGCGAAGCTCAACTAGTCCTTATACATGACACATCCAGTTTCATGTCACTCAACATACTCAAGATTCATGGTCAAAATTTCAACAATCAGTCAATTCGAGTCTAGGGAACATGTACAAGGTATCTCCAGAGGGAGTAGTCCGTGACGGAGTAATCCAGCAATTGTCCAACGCATGAGCTGTCGACAAATCATACTTAGGAGGCCTTGTCCTTGTTGTGGTAGTTGACCTCGTCGTTCCAGCTGTACACAGTTAGTATGATATTCACAAACGTCATAGAGCATGACAGCTCGGAGCTCAATGGCGTGAGAGCTGGCATCCAAGCTTCTTGAAGCTCTTTTGAAGCTCTTGTCCGAAATGATGTCACAACTTACAAGAGAGTCTGTGAGATGTCAGTAAAGTGCCATTGAACCAGAGTATTCATTCCAAACTCACCTTGTCACCATTACCCCACTGGTAGTTCTTGGTGCGGATGTTCTGGTAAGGGTACTCGGTGCGCTCCTCCAGAGGAGGCATGTGGTTCCAGTGCTCCCAATGCTCGTTCCAGAGCCAGTAGGCGTTGGCACCGGCGGCGATAAGGCAGGGGGCGACACCACTTCGATCTTGTTAGCCATTGCTATCCCAACGCATAACCACTACCTCATCGTCTCCAACTTCCGATACTCCGGGTTCGACGCCGGATTCGTAATTCGCTCAAGGGTTCGGTTTCGGACGTACTAGAGGGAGATCTTCTTCCACAGCTCTGTCCATCGTCAGCAACCACATCCAAAGCTTCCAATTGACCCAATTCTGCGTCGTCGGGTGTCGACTCACCAGTGGTACCGACAGCGTGCTCCTTGATGTGCTGACGCTCCTTGATGAACTCGTTCTCGGTGGTGCTGGCAAATCGGCGCTGGAGGGGAGCGCGGAGCTGCGCAGTGGCGCGCGTAGCAGCGCGAGTGAATCGTACGGCGGACATTGTGGACGACGACGTTGTTGTTCGCTTTGACGGTTGGTGAGTCTAAGGCAAGTTTGTGATCAGGTCATTCTTGAACAAGCTCGGTTAGAACCGCCAATGAAAGTTGCCTCAATTGTAAGGTACCAATTTTTTCCCCGGCTGATGGCAGCGTACACGTGATCTCGTGCTGGGGGCGCGACGTTGAAGGCTCAACACCACGCGGTGGGGCTCTGCGTCATTGTAGGAATCGCGACCTTTTACTTCGGGTGTCTTGTTCTTGAACGACAATAACTTGAGCCCCACCACTCTCACGCTTCTGAATCCTTTTTCAGGGCTTATATGCGACGTTTTCTTACCAATCTGTCTCTCTATAGCTGCCAATTCACCCTCTTTCTCAACTTATCGCGAAGTCTCTCTATCTTTCAACTCATGGTATTCAGATCCTCAACACCACGAGATGAGATGTGAGACACCCATCAGGGCTGTTTCTGATATTTCATGAGGCTTTTCAGCACTAAATTCTACATCTCATAAGCTGCAATCATGGTGTTTCGGATAACCACCTGGAATGGTGAGTTTGGCCGCCTCTTTCTTGGCTCTTCCACTAACATCATCTGCAGTCAATGGCATCCGGTTCGTGATTCACACCGAAAAAACCCTAAACTCATCCTAATGATTCGTCATCATAGAAATCCTTTCGGTTATCAACCTTGGAGAGAAAAGAGAACCTTCCAAGTGCGCTCCTTCAACTCACAACTTACACCTGAGCTCCTCAACTCACAACCACACAGGCTATGTTCGAGATTCTTGAAGCAGACATTGTTGTTATGCAAGAAACCAAGATCCAGCGAAAGGACCTTCAAGATGACATGGTTCTCGTTCCCGGCTGGGATGTCTTCTTCAGCTTGCCAAAGCACAAGAAAGGTACGGCACCCACTCTCATTTGTGCGCTGCAACGCCTGACAATTCTTCAGGATACTCTGGAGTCGCTATCTACACACGTAACTCAAAATGCGCGCCGATACGAGCAGAAGAAGGCGTCACCGGCATCTTGACACCTCCCAAGTCTACAACCAGATACCGCGACCTCCCTGAAGACCAGCAGATTGGCGGCTACCCCCGACCCGATCAACTTGACGGCATCACCGACGAAGCGACTCTTGACTCTGAAGGCCGCTGTGTCATTCTCGAGTTCCCCGGCTTCGTGCTCTTTGGAGTCTACAGCCCCGCTACCCGTGATGAGACTCGTGATGACTTTCGCATTGGTTTCTTCCAAGCACTGGAAGTGAGAATACGCAACTTGGTCGCCGCAGGCAAGCAGGTCATCCTCACGGGTGATCTAAACGTCGTCCGTTCCGAGCTTGACTCAACCAATGTTTCAGAGACACTACGCAAGGAAGGGATTGAACTCAGCGACTGGATGAACGCACCTGTGCGGCGCATCTTCAACCAACTCATATTTGAGGGAAGTGTGATAGGCGAGAGAGACGAAGGCCGTGAAAAGCCTGTTCTCTGGGACCTCTGTCGTTGCTTTCACCCGGAGCGAGTGGGGATGAATACATGTTGGGATACCAAGCGGAACACACGACCTGCAAACAACGGCAGCCGGATTGACTACGTGTTGTGCAGCGATGGCATCAAGAGCTGGTTCAACTACTCCAATATTCAAGAGGGTCTGATGGGATCTGATCATTGCCCGGTCTTTGCGACCTTGTCGGACAAAGTGACAGTGGGCGACAAAGGGTGTGCGTTACTCGAGATGATGAACCCCCCGGGTATGTTTAAGGGGGGCGAGCGTCTACGAGACTGGAGTCCAAAGGATCATCTTCCTTTGTCTGCAAAGCTTATACCAGATTTTGACCGCCGGCAGAGCATCCGCGATATGTTCACAAAGAAAGCCGCCCCTCCACGAGAGTTGACAAACACAGACTTACCTGCAGAGCCCTTGAAGAACGGAAATAGTAGCGCCTCAGGGTCACTCGACAAAGCAGACGAAGCTTCAGGGTCACAGACCAACATCGCCTCCACACCGAGGCTGGGAGAGACTACCAACACAACCAAGCTTTCAGCATCTCAGCCTAGCTCCAAAAGACCTGGAACGGCCGCTGACACGACGAGTCGACCGTTTAAGAAGACCAAGTCTTTGACAAGCGCCAACGACACCAAGAGCAAGGTGGCGCAGGGCCAACGAACATTACAGGGATTCTTCAAGCCAAAGGCTCCCGCGGCTCAAGATGGTAAGGCAGAGCTAGTAGCGGCAAGTTCGACGCCATCTACAACAAAGAAACCTACAGGATCAGGAAAAGCGCCAGCAAGCGCGCAGAGACTATCGAATACCCCGCAAGCTACACTTTCAGAAAAGTCATCACCAACAGTCCCTCTACGCGGCAAGGATCCCGACCCCTCCGACAGGGTGTTTGACCCGATCGAAGCCAAGGAGTCGTGGTCTAAGCTGCTGGGCAAGAGGGTTGCACCAAGATGTGAACACGACGAACCCTGCATCAGCTTCACCACCAAGAAGCCCGGAGTCAACTGTGGTACGTTATACAGCGGCAGCTGATCCAGAGTGCATGCGGTGGCGTTGCCGTTACACAACGCCGCGGCTGCAACGTCGCTTACCGATGCAAAGTCAAACTCAGAAAGCTAATTTTGATGACATTACAGGTCGAATGTTCTACATCTGTCCGCGACCGCTAGGACCATCAGGTGAGAAGGAGAAGAACTCGGAGTGGCGCTGCAGTACATTCATATGGAGCAGTGATTGGACTGGCTCATGATGGGAACTCGGGGAGCTGGGAGTGCAGGAGCCTGGTTGGGAATTTTGTACATACACTACGTTAAGAGCTGTACGGTAGAGAACTGATATGTGTTAAGATTAATAGTACCAAGTAGTCATGTCACCGATAGCATCGTAAGCACAATAAAGTTGAGTCTTTAGTCTCTATTGTATTTCCTGTCCACCACAGAACAACGTGATACGTTGTCGATGTGCTAGCTACCTATCCATTGGGCTGTTATCTCCAGAGAATAGATGCTACCTATTAACTAGTGCAACAATAAACAAAGCGAGTGGGTTGCGCCGCTTGCAATCCACGGGTATCGTCAAATCCACAAAGATATCGCTTCCTTCATCTATGTCCCAAACTCAGAGCAACCGAGATTAGGTAGGCGACAAGCAAGGTATTCCAGTCTTTCTGTATCAATCAGAATTAGTAACTGTTGTAAAGCTTTGTATCCTTTGACTTACGTTTGTCGTCTCACGATCATGCTCAAGGCCACAAAGATGGCCAGTGCTCATCGAGTGAAGAAGTTCCAAGAGTGATGAACTCTTAGGCGGTGATCTGCTGTGTACCAGTAGTAGCCGCAGTGTTTCTGTCAGAAGAAGTGTTGTTGCGGCGGCGTCGCTCAGAAGGACGACGAGGGCGGTACTGGTAGTCGGGGTACTGTCGGCGATGTTCGGCCTTTTTCTCATCCGCCATTTGCTTGTAGAAAGCGCGAATCTCACGGGTCTCGGAGTTCCAGAGGCGGCCAAGGACCTGGGCTAAAACGATGTCAGTGATGTCTTGTAAATCGGCATATACTACTTACAGATTTCATTGTTGGTGATGTCGGGGCGTTGAGCCTTGACCGACTGGTGACGTTCCTTGCGGTAAAGAATGTAGGCATTGGGAGGTCGTGGGATCTTGGCAGGGAAAGCAGGTTTCTCAGAACGGTGAATGAAAACAACTTCAGCGGCACCGGGGATGTTGACCAGCATTCCACCCTTAGCGAAGAAGTCGCAAGGAGCTCCAAGGTAGTAGCACTTGTTCTGACTGTCGCGAGCAAAGAGGACGGGCATGCCACGTTCAACCCTGTTTGAGAATCGTCAGTGAATTCAGGTGAGGAATTCTGTGATAAATACACTTACATGTAGAGGTTGGCAAAGCCGGCTTTGGCACCGGCATCCATCTCTTCGTAGAGGGAAGGGAAGATCTTGAGGAGCTTGTTCGAAGGGTTCTTGCTGTCAGGAGAAAGGCACTGGTAGATGCTATCGATGTGCTCCAGGGTCCATTTGCTGGTGAAGACGATGGGGCTGGAAGCGCCGGGTGGCATTAAGATGAAGGTGGCCATGATCGTGGTTATTGAGACCTAAGCTGGCACTGCTGGCGTTGTAAGAGATGTGAGAAATCTTCTTAGAGCGAGTTCAGGAACTTCAAATAAATTGAAGAAGATTTGTTGTTGTGAGGAGAGAGAAAAGAAAAGCAGATGAGCAGCCATGCCTCGCATTTGTAGCAGCGCCCTGCAAACGCCGCTTTGCAACAAAAGGCTGAACGTCTTATTGTTTCTCTATTGACGCAAGAAAGTGGGGCATTCCAGAGGCTAGTGGGGCTTCGTGTACGTACTTTTTGATTCCTAAGAGACACCTGTCGCGCACTGTTCTTTGTCCGATACATTGGTCTGTGCGATCCCGCTGCGCACTGGAGCCCAACACTGCGCGAAGCCACAAGGCCCGGCTATGGGCTAGTGATACTTGGCATGCCAGGGGACTGGCGATCTGGGTTACTCTCCTGAGCTTGGTGTTCTTTGAATGGAGGATGAGAAGGTTTAATTAAAATGATGAGGTGATTTCTTTAGCTGGTTGTAGAATTATCTAAACTCCCTTTTCAAGAGATGAGAGTGGATATTTACCCTCTTACAGTTCATTGGCAACATGTAGTCGGTGTCTTGTTTTAGGAGTTCCACCCCAGACTTTTTCTAGCTTAACTTTTTCCCCCAAGACATGTTCAGGTGTAATTGTGATGCATTTAATTAGGTACTAATACTACTCTAATATAGCTATGATATGCATTTCTCTCGAGTCTTTCCTGTGTCTTTGTTAGCAACTGTACTAAAATCAACTGAAGTTAACGATTACACTCGACAACAGCTGGTAAACGTCAGCCCCTACTTCACCAGCATTAGCTCCATTGTGCAATAAATCATATGGTATAAGTTGGTACTTAAGAGTACTGTTAGGAAGATGAACTCTTTTTGAAATATGAGATACAACCTGTAAAGCCATGTTAAGTTTTTTATTACAAACTTGAACTTATTGTTACACTCTGTTTATAAGAAATTTTAACCTTGCTTTAAGATCTAACATTCTTAGCATATTAACCCTTCCTCTCTTCAACTCTATGTATAGAAATCTTACATATATTACTATATAGAAATAATTAAAGTAGATTAATTACTATATATTAAGCAAAGACTTATACTATTATATATAATCCAGGCAAACATCTTACTGGTAATTATTCTAAGTGACATACAATAACCCAATAACCATCATGCTGGATGGATGTGCATTGATTTGGCAATCTCTTGATGTTGTCTTGAAAGTTTCTTATATCCCAGGTGAACAGAGTGGTCGGCAGTGTTGGTGTGTTGCTAACAGTGCCAAGCCCTGGCGGCGGCGCGTAAACGCCATCTTTGGATCCATGCTCTGGTTATTGATGGCATTGTTTATGGGTGTGAATTTCTAGAACCCCACTGTATATCAAACCCATCGCTTTCACCGGGACTTCTCTCCCTCTTCACCTACCCACTAAACATCATTCTCCCGAGTCAGATCTTCTGGTCTTTGTGCTTGGGTGCTTTTATATCAGCGTTCTGCTTTTCAACATTCTCCGTTCTTGACTCGCTAGAAGCATGGAATCTCAGCCTGTGAACGGTTCGCCCATGCCTGCTCGAGCCACGATGCAAGACATTCAAGCTCTCTTGAATGGGGAAGCTCTCAATCATCTGGCGCCTGTTCCCGGGGGTCGATGGCAGATGTTGTCTCGTGTTAATAACATCATCCTCGTTGCCTATGTTTTGGAAGACGGTACCCAGGTTATGACCACCACGGTCAATCTGGCATTTGATGCTGAGACTGCTACGACCCTTTGTTGGCAGCACATCTACAACTTCCCAGCAGGTAAGCGCTTGGTTTCTCTTACTGAACTCCGAACTTGAGACTCAAACAAAACATCAACAGGCTGTAACCCAGACGGAACTTGGGCAGACGAGAGTCCACAGGCGCCACCTGCTATTAACTCAAATGTGCAGATGGCAACCTCGGCCCCAATGAACCAGCAGGTGGACAACACTTGGACAGCCGGCCCCACGGTCCTCCAGGCTGGCGGCGCACCAGTCTTAGCCATCCCTCAGCTCGATGCTTCGTATCAACCCATCAACACCGTCCAGGGCCAACAGCAGCCTCACGAACAAGCCCAGGCACTCGTCGCACCAGGCTCGGGAGCGATGGGTCCGTTTCAGCATGCGCAGCCAATCGACATGGCTGGGGGTCAGCCCGGTGATCTTTCTGGTAAGTTTGTCCACTCTTCTCAGAGCTTCTCCCATAGCTTACGGTGTAACAGCGTTCCAGGATGGAAGCCATACGATCTTTGATGCTGGACAGTTTGTCGCCCAGAACGGACCGATCCAGAATATCCATCAATGGCAGCCCTTCCCGTAGAAAACATTATCGCTATCATTAAGGCTTCGCAGGAGGCCAACGTTTGTTCTTGGAACACATTTGTGCTCGATTGAAGGTTTGTTATTCTATGCGCTCTCTTTGGAAGTTCTAACATGACATAGCAAGCGACGAGACAACCTGCAAAGTTGTCAGATTGACGTTGCGTCACCGAGAACGTCAGGGTTTTTTCTTCGGTTGTAGTAGGTGATGTGGCTAGGAAATGGCTCAGGGTAGAATAAGATCAACTCCCTCTTAGATGATGCTTTGTCACAGTAACGTATTGTAGGCAAATACACTTCGATCATTCGCCTCTCATGGAACGTTCATGGCTCAAGAGAACATTTCTGTTCTTCTTGGGAATAGTTCTGATGATTAAGAAAACTGTGAATATCATGGATTTTTTAATTATGGTGATTGGTCGATCATGAAGTTACGTGCCAATCCTCTGTATTCCTTGCATTTCTTGGCTGAGGTTGGAATTATGTTTGGTACGGCCCACAACGAGATCTGAAGGTGGGAAAGCGCAACGCTCATGACAGCTAGAATGATTAGCTATCAGACTCTTGGCGATGCTCACGTTTGAAGGACACAGGGTTTAAATTACAGTGTGAGATCACACAGTCCGTAGACCCTGGTCCTAGACGTTGTGGGCGATACAACCCTGGACCGTAACCAAAAAAAACCAGGGCGGCACATCCGATTGCCTTTCGATTCCAATTCTTGCTTCGACCCTGACGAGCAAAGGGTTCATTCTTGAGATTTGATACTGATTTCCGGAGTTCATAAGTGAATCATCGACTCAGATATTGATGCCTTTCATCTAAACCGTTCACTCGAGGACACCTGCATGTATATCTACTACGTAGGTAGTCTGTCGTTTCAATTATAAGATCAACCGCCAAACGAAACATTGGTTGAGCTAGCTCCATTGGGTCGAAGGACGCCACAGGGTGGGAGACAAAATAACTCCAACACACAAAAGTCACGATGCAACCAGTATTGCTAATATCAAGCCTAGGTTTAAGGGATCTCTACGATAGCCGTCACGGCAATTGAGGTTCTTTAATTCTGCAGTGATAATGCTTGAGAGCAGGGCTCCAGTACATAAATCATTGCTTGTTTGGCAACATGGGCAAGATTGCTTGACCAAACGAGATTGATCTGCGATTCTCCCTTCCTTGTAAGTCGTCAGCCCTACAGCTTGAAGCGGAAATAGCATGGGTGTGTCACCATCAGCGATCGTGGGGGACCAAGAACCGGGCTAAGATCACAACCTATCCACTATGGTTTTAGGTCAGTGGCGGCCGTAAGGAACTAAACTGGACTATCAGACTATCCTGCTTGAGACATGGACATTTAGACTGATATCTTACCACCATCAAAGAGCCCAGTCTCGAGGAATGCTTAAGTTGGTTCCGAATTAGTTCCCCTTCGCTGAGTATCTTGCAAGGAAGGTTGCAGTGGCTATGAGTTGGTGGCGTAACCAGTGCAGAATTGCTTTTGGAAGCAAGATGCGTAATCAGCGATGGTCATACAGGGCAATCCTTGACATTTCATCTTCTATACGTTTGTGAGTAACGAAATAAATGAAAGGTATTTGACTGAATCACATATTGACTACAATTGGTCATCTGATGATAAATTCGGCTGGTTACAGGCCAATTGACGAGGGCAGTGAGGAGGCCAGGGTTATCGTGATATCAGGTATTCAGTGTCATCTTCAAAGAGTGTTATGGCTATCAAGGGCACAGTTCTCCAGTACAGTATCCGATTGACAGCTTCCGACAGTTTCACTTACACCTGACAGTCTCAGACATGAACTGGGATACAGCTGTTTGCGTAACATCGTTGACGCAGTTTGCACAAGGCATGTGCATTCCACTTGGTTTCGCGAGTGTATCGACTCTCAGCCTGCCTGAGTCTAAACAATCGCTTCACCGTCTGACTCCCCGCACTCAGCTCCAGCTGCAGAGGAAACGAAGATTCTCAGACGCATGTCTTACAGATCCAAGAATTCGGAAAGTGAACATATTTCGCTAAGCTACGCCTGTTTCTAACTAGTAACACAAGAAACACTATCCGCATCGCCGGCCCAACAGACACTAAGCCAGACTAACACGGTTCCATCGAAAGGGACCACGAGTTTCGTTCTTCATGAAATCCTCCGGTACTGTACGGACCGGCGACGGTTACGGGTAGTCCGTCTCTATCTCGCGTCTTTGCTCGCGTCGCGAAATAAAATGAAGAAATGGGGAGTGTAATTGTCCATGCTCAATGCCCAGACTTCTTCCCCTCCTCGTGCCATACGAAAAGCGACCAAGACTACGCAAGTGCAAGCCATCCCCATCAACTCTAATACCTTACTATCCAAAGGGGGGGTTGGGGTTGGTGTGTGTGTGTCTCATTTGGTTGTGCAGTCTCACTCTTCAAGCATGATTGGTCGCATGTTGATAATTGAGGCTGAAGCCGCGAATGCCTTCAGCAGACCCAAATCTGCGCCCCTTACTCTTCTTGGTATGAGATCTTCCGCATCTCGCCCAAACGATGTCGAGCCGACGCCAAGGCGTTCTCCAATTGGAGGATCTCGACCTGTTGATTGTTGGTGGCTTGTCAGTCCATGATCTTACACGAGGGGGCTAAAATAAACTTTGCCGGATATAGTAACCGTTACGAATGCACTGGCCCGGGAATGAACTGGACCTGTGAGTGGTATCGATGTGTCATGGTAGTTGTGATGTGATATGTGATGCCACGACAGGGGGAGATGAGAGAGGCGACCAAGGGAAAGGGTTGCCAAACACATGACGGGGAGGCTGCTAGACTTACTTGCTGTTCCATCTCCCGCACCTTAAACTCGTGCGCTCCAAGCTTGGAGTAGTCCACCTGGTCCTCCTCTTGGCTACGCTCCTTGATCAAGCTCTGCACTTGGCGCACCAGTGCTCGACATGCCGCACCCACGGCCTTACTGGCCTGCTCGAGCTTTTCTTGGCTCTTGGACATGAACCCTGCCTTGACTCTGCTGGCAGCCACAAGCTGGGCAGTCGATGCCGCCACGTCGTTCGAGGCCACGATGAGCTGTTCTGGACTGTTGCGCCCTGAAATCACTCCATCTGCTGTCTCGATCAGAGTATTAGTCGACGACGCCACAGCCTTGGCAGCAGAGATCAGTCCCTCAGTCCACCGGTTGTTCTTCTTGTAGAACGCTGTTCGTGACGTCGATCCACGACCTGCCTGCACGATCTCCTGCTGTGTCACTGTCGCCGCCTGAATCAGTTGCGTAATGGCGTTGGTGATCGCCGTCGCCGCATCCAGGATCGAGTCGTTCACCTTGAGCTCATAGGTTGAGTAGCCATCACGAGGCTTGTTCTTGAGCTTGGCCAGTCGTGCAGCAGCTGCGGCAATTGCATCTGCAGCTTTACTGAGCTCCTGGTCGACGAGGTCACCCAAGTCTCCCTTCTTGTTGGCGAGCTTGCCGAAGCCAGGGGCAAACGACTCAACAAGCTTGTTGAGCTTCTGCAGGTTCATCTGGACGTCGTTGTTGCTGTTGATGACCACATCTGTCTTTTGCAAGGGGTCCATGCCCTCAAGTCGGAAGCTCTGAAGACCACGGAGGAACTGCACAGCTGAGATAGCAGGCTGGCGGGTTCCGTTCATAAGAGCATCGGTCTTCTTATCATCTGTAGCTAGACGGGTAAGACCCTTGGTGTTGCTGCAGACATCAGCAATCGCACCAGAGAAGACATTGATAGCCTTGATGAGGTCGGCGTGTGTCGCATTTGGTCCATCCGCGATGAAGTTGTTGAAGGATGTAGCAAACTCCATAGCACTAGCTGAGGCCTTCTCGATCTGTGACAGTACGTAAGAGGGAGAGGCATTCTGGTTACCAGCCTGCATGCTGGAATCCAACTCGTAGAGCGCATCATCCACGCGCGCAACACCAGCCTGAAGAACAGAGTCGATAATGTCGTTGATCTTGTCAAGGTTGGACATGATGAGGGCATCAATCTGGCCATCCAAAGCATGATCGGTGTCACCCTGGTTCATCTTGAGCTCGTTGAGCTCGATGAGAGTCTGATCCATGCCCGCCTTATACACCTCAAGCTCCTCCTCCTTGTCACGGAGAAGCTGCTCAAGGTCAGAGCTGCCATCTCGGAGGTTCATTTGAGCATCTTCCAACTGTCGTGTCTTGTTGCGCAGTGCCTCCTCGAGATCCGCCATCTCACGGTTGTACTTGGCGAGCATTGTCGAAAGCTCATTGCCCTTGCTACGCTCGAGGTTGTCGGCCTTGTCCTGAGCCAGGCGCAGTTCTCGCTTGAGCTTCTCGACCTCATCCTTGCTGCTGCCAGTCGCGCGGTCCTTGTCGTGAAGAGCGCGGTCACGCTCACGGATCATGTCGGCCAACTCGAGGTTCTTGGTCTTGATCTCACGCTCGAGCTTCTCACGTCGATCGATGGCCTCCTGAGCGCTGGCCGCCTTGAGTTGAACGGCCTTGAACTTTTGGAGGAGATCGAGATGCTCGTGTCGCAGCTGAGAGTAGAGCTTGGCCAGTGCCTCGTATTTCGTCCTCCATGTGTTGACCTGCTCCTGGAGGGCCCGAATCTGGTCATCCTTGCTGTTCATTTGCTGGCCGAGACTGTTCTGAATGTGCGACAGCTCACCCTCCAGAGCCTTGACTCGCTGGTCGTACTGTTGGAGCATCAGTTGATCACGCTCATACTGAGCGCGCGCGTTCAGGTTCTCACGCTCCAGCTCGGCGAGGCGTCCCTGGGTTTGCCATTGTGCTTGTTGCGCCATGAGCGCCTCTTGCTCTCGCTGTTGCTGCTCCATCAGTTGCTGTTGTTGTTGCTCAAACTCACGTTGAGCCTGAAGTTGTGCCTGCTGCTGGGCCAGGAGAGCTTGTTGTTGCTGCTGCTCAAGAATGCGCTGCTGTTCTTCATACTCTCGGTTCTGGCGATCCAACTCGCTCTTCCAGAATTCGTTCATCTCATCGGGGGCGTCGTTCTTGGGCTCAGGTGGAGGAGATGGCTTTCGCTCAATCTCCTGTTTCGGCCGCGCGGGTAGCGCAGGTGCATCGTCGTCCTCGGCCAAGAGGTTTGGAGGATCTTGAGGAAGCTTGGGGATGGTGATGAGACTGGTAAGGTACCGGAGGTTTGAGCATTCGTAGTAGAACTTAACTAAGCGATAATGCTGTGCGTTGTAACGTTCACGAAGAGGTTCAAGAGCCTCGTCATCACCGGTTGCTTTAATGATGTTAACCCTAAGGATCCTAAAGGTGGGGTGGGGGAGTGAATGACTGACTTGAATGCATTGCGCGCAGCATGCTCGTGATGAACTTGTAAATTCCGTAGCTCTCCTGAACAAGGGGCACGAGGGCGGCAATTCGGCACTCGTTGTTTCCAACATTTCGGAAGTGCGAGAAGATCAGCTTTTGGAACTGCTCAATCTTATCCTGCAGCACCATCAAATCGCTGATGGTCTCGTAACCTTCATTGGGGTCGTTGATAGCCTTCAAGCTCAGGTACTCCTCATACTCGAAGGTTCCGTTGAACTCGGGGTGCTGATGGTGGAAAGAGAGCTTCGCAAGTAGGTAATAAACGTATTCGCGGATCAAAGGTGCATAGCCGCGCATGCCTTCTCCTCCTCCGCCCATTCCGCGGTTCAAGCTATCGATCCATGCGCGGTTTGCCATTGCCTCCTTGAGAGCACTGGGGTGGCCTTCTTGGAGTACCTTGTGGATTGTGATCAGGGCCTTGAATGTCTGGACTTCATCGGCTAGGATAGGTTGGCTGTTGGTAGTCGATCAGCGGAAGTTGTCATGATGAGGACGTATGAGACGTACACCTTGATGCCGGACCAGAAGGCGGCGGAGGACCGGTGGTCCCATGTATAGACGATACATGCTCGGACATGCTTTCGCTTTGGAGAGATCTCCTCGGCGTTTGTAGCTTTCTTGATGTTGATGGCGAGCTCTTGATCGGTTCTGCGCAAGACGACGGGGTTAGCTTGTCGGACATGAAACGTGATGGTGTCGCTGACTTGGTATGCTCGGTGCCGCGCACAGCAGCAGCCATGTTTGCAATTGGTGGCGGGTAAGCTCCGCGACGCTATTATTCGATAATAGGTAAAGATGTTTGCGCAAGGAAAGTTCGTCGGGTCTTCGACGATGCTATAGTAACCCCTGGAAATCACGAGACAATTTCCCAGTCAGGCCGACGCCGCGCAAGCTTAGGAGATTAGGCAGAGAATAAACCGTAGGAAATGAAAATATGATTAAAGAGATCGAGGCAACGAAGTTTGTGAGGATGCGACTGTAGATCGAGTATTCGCGGTCGTCGTCAGCCTTGACAAATCTTGGGCGACTCTTGGGCGTGGCTCGTCTCTGCGATTCGATGGATGTCGTAGTAGCTTCAGTGGCTGGGCCGCAAGAGCCAAGAGGGGAGCGTCATACGGGTACGTATCGTTCGTTGTGTGGAGCACGGCTGTGGAAGACTTCAGTGAGCTTCCTTGAATTGGTGGCCAAATTATCCCACTTAGACGACCGCTTTGAAAGGTTCCAGCACCATTTTATGGCATCTCTTAAAACGAAATTCTCTGTATATGCTTGTTTTGGATTGTGTTGGTCCCTGTGAATATGTAGCTAGAGAGCTTGGCTAGAGAATCATTGTATGTGAATGCCTGAGAACGCTGCAATATTTTAGAGTTCACTTTTTGTGATAGCCTAGACTACCTTAATTTATGAGCATATCGTCTGAGTTTCACCACTTAATTTACGAGCATATTGTATAAATTTCACCACTCTATACTCCTTAACTTTGATCATTTTGTATGATTTCTTATGGAAAGAACACCACTTATCTCTGGTCATTTCATGTAATGGTTCGATGACACTCCCGAATTTATGGTTATTTCGATATGCACCATTCTTTTGCAGTATACCAGCTGGGAGTCTTGCGGAATGCTTTCGGTGTACAAGGTCAACTCGACTCATGTACCGTATTGAAAGGCTCTCTGTTTCATTATGATCCTCGACATGCGAAATGAATCTGTCTAAGTAGTGTAACAACAACTCATATAAGCTTGTTTTATGAGCCACTTTAAGTGTCATGCTAATTCACGACGAGTTGACTAGCTACGAGGGCGACACAGAGATGAGAAACGGTTGAGAAGGAATTTGATCCCATCCATTGACAAGAGTCCCATGTGGCACTTGGATGCTATTCTCAATATAAAATGCTGCGTGAGCTCAATTGCTTGTAAGAATGGACAAGTAACTTACAAGGCCAGACGTCTGAATAATGTCAAACGCAGAGGTACAGGGTAAGCGGCCGGTGACGATTTATTTGAAGTGCAAAAACAATCCTTGGATCACACTGAGCTGCAGACAACACCAATCGTCAGAAATAGGTGGTCTCTATAAACGAGAATATTATCACAGAATGATAATCCCTGTAAGTACAGTGTAACGAGGGCTCACGTTACCAGACGACATAACTGGGTGAGCCATACTGTGACACTTGTCGATCCAAGAATGGACCTGAATCTGTACATGGCATTGACCCTACAACTCAATATTTGACAAAACGACATCGTTTTATCACACGGAATGAATGAGGGAGAAACGCCAGTTCATTCAGACTTCAAGCAAACACCACGCCCGTTATATGGACCAGGCACAATTCACTACAGGTATCTTCAAATACAGACAGCGGCATGCTTCAAACGATGTCTTTTTTTTGGTCTCATTGCCTATGGACATCAAAATGCAAGCCCTTGCCATGCAGAGTTTCCCATCCGGACGCAATACCCCAGGTAAAAAGAAGCCAGCACCACCAACCCCGCAATATCTTTTCTTTTAGATCGTAGTCTCGTAGGGAAGAGGAGTGACGGTCTGAGGAGGGTTGTCGGCGAGCGACAGTGTGTGAGCCTCACGGGGTCCAGCGGGCTGACGCTTGACCTGGACGACGGTACCGTTGGCCTTGGCCTCACGCTTGGCCTCGGCGTTAGCCTTGACTCGCTTGAGGAAGTCCTCACGAGATCGGGACTGCTGGATGTGCTCGATTCGGACGTTGATTCGCTTCTCGATGTATCGGTGCTTCACCTGCTTGTAGATGATGACACCGACAGCAGACTTGGTGACGTTGTAGATGACACCAGTCTTGCCGTGGTACACCTTGAAGGGCATACTGTAACCATTGTTAGCCCTCCTGTTCCAATGCCCACAAGAATTCCTCCAAAAAGCGTCCAAGTCTCGCAATTTCGCGTGTATTGTCGCATGATGGCAAAGGGAGCTCTGCTTACCCCTTCTGGACGGCACCGTTCGCCTTGATGTCGACGATATCACCAACGCGGTACTGTCGGAGATAGGTGTTCAGGGCAATCATACCCTTCTTGCGGAAGTCCCGGCTGAAGGCATACTAAAAATTCACATCGTCAGTCTCATGCCAACGTCGTCGAAATTTCATTCTCGCAGGAATCGGTGGTTGAACATACGCGGGTGCCCGCTCTCTTTCCGTAGGAGTGACCCATCTCGAATGTGATATGCCGGTACCGGTCGGGTTGGGGTTAGTAGTCGTGGTTGGCGAAAGAGATGGTGAAGTCCTTCGCTTTGGTGTTGTGGATTTCTCGAAGGCGGCCTTGTGGGAGCGGGACCTCAGATTTTCCGAAAGTTTTTTCCCACCTTAGTAGGGCAAGAGCGATTGTGGGTGGCTCCTGCCCTTCACTTTTCTTAGGGTTCTTGTGCTAGCACACGTGATCTATGAGCTCCGCCAAATTTCTGTCCGCACATTTTGCTACGAATCGCATCTTGTGAGAAAGTTCAACTCCCGCAGAACACCCAAGGAGCAAGTCAAGTGAGTATATCACCACCACCACGAGTGCATCACCAAAGGACATTAATTAACAAAATCTTCAGGATGCCTCCCCGCGCCCACTCCAAGACCTCCCGTGTCCCCCGCCGACCCTTCGAGTCTGCCCGACTGTCAGTATCACCGGCCACTGAACATGAGCTTGTCTCTGTTTAAGTCGTATGTGAATGAAGACTGACCGAATAACAATAGTGACTCCGAGTTGAAGCTCGTCGGCGAGTATGGCCTGCGCAACAAGCGTGAGGTCTGGCGAGTCGGTCTGACTCTGTCCAAGATCCGTCGTGCTGCCCGGTATGTGAACCTTTGCACTTTTGCGTGCGCTGATGAAGAAGAGTCTTCTAACAAATTTCACAGTCAGCTTCTTACCCTCGACGAGAAGGACCCCAAGCGTCTCTTCGAAGGCAATGCCCTCATTCGACGTCTTGTCCGTGTCGGTGTCCTTGACGAGTCCCGCATGAAGCTCGATTACGTCCTGGCTCTTAAGATCGAGGATTTCCTTGAGCGCCGTCTCCAGACCTGTGTCTGGAAGCTCGGTCTTGCCAAGTCTATCCACCACGCCCGTGTCCTGATCCGCCAGCGTCACATCCGAGTCGGAAAGCAGATCGTCAACGTTCCCTCTTTCATCGTCCGTCTCGACTCCCAGAAGCACATCGACTTCGCTCTTACCTCGCCCTTCGGTGGTGGCCGTCCCGGCCGTGTCCGCAGAAAGAAGGCCAAGGCCGCCGAGGGCGGTGAGGGTGGTGAGGACGAGGAGGACGAGGAGTAAATGCAACCAAAAATGCAAAAACGGTTCTCCCTGTCTAGGGCACTTGGTGATGGAATACCACTCATGGGAAGGGGATTCTCTTCATAGCTTGCGGCGTTGGCCAGAGGATAAAAATGGAATGATTTCACCGGATAACGACAAACAAAAATTTCCCGGTGTCTCTCCACCTGTGTACATGAATCTCATGAAACATGAATCCAATCACGACATCCACCCATAATTTTTCATCTGCTGTGAATATTTCGATGTCAATGTTGCTATCGCTACGTATCTGATGCACCCTGTTATGTAATAGTATTGTAATTATGTGTAGTAAGGCATCGCTATGTCAAAAGTTCATCTTTGCCCAGTAGCTTTGCCATTGGGTCATTCGTCACCGTCCGTTTCCTCCTGTACTCATCCATCTCCTCTTCTGTCACGCCATTCATCATTTCTTCTCTTGTCCGCTTGCGCGGCTGCTCTTCCTCCTTGTTCTTCTCTGCCTCCTCCTTTGAAGGCTCTTCTGTCTCCTCCTCATCATCCTTGACCAGGTTGGCTCCAGTTCGTTGACGCTCAGCTGCCTCCCATGCCAATTTTCCATCGTCCCCAGTACAGTAACTGTTTTTGATGAATGAATGACAGCAAGCGTAGCCCCATTTGAAGTTGGACCACCAGCTTCCCCATACTGAAGTATGATTGTTGATGAAAACATCTTCGGCATACTTGGACTTGGCCACCTTCTTGGGCGCACCCTTGATCAAACCAGCCTCATCGTACTCAACAAACGTCTCGGATTCGGTGATAGCCATGTTGCGCAAAGCAGCCGGCATAGCCTTCTGATCTCCACCGTACTTCTCGAGCAGTAACTTCTCTCGTTCCGCACGCTTTGCCTCTGCCTCCTCCAGCTCCTTCTTTCGATAAAACTCTCCTGCCGTGGGGTTTGCTTGCAGATGCTGGCTTGTGTTACCAGACTTTTCTTGAGCCTCCCATGCGTATCGCTGGGCATTCTCGAATGCGCCGGCATCGCCTGAGGATCGCATGAAACCCTCCTCCGCGAACGCATCTGCTGCCTTGTCTGCCGTTGCACCTGCATCGACCAGTGATCGTGTTTTCGGATCGTACTTGGCAGATTCTAGATCGAGGTTCAAAAGATACTTGGCTGTGTCCTCTCGTATTCGCAGTTGTCGTGTTGCTGTGCTCTGATGTTTACTCATATCATTCTCTTCCGCATACTTGTCGCCTTCTTCTGTCTCTTCATCGGCATTTTCGTCCTTAGTGGCCTGCTTGCGTAGCTCCTCCATCTGGTTGAACTCGTCGACCACGCTGCGATACTCCTTCGCATCGTATCCATTCCAGCGATCGCGCTTGGCGTCCCATCCCATGTTGACGTCTTGAATCACCTCATCGGCCTGAATATCTTTGCCTGTCCATTTCGCACCCTTCGCTCGTGGTCGACTCAAGCAGTCTTTCTTCTTGTGTGTCATGGCACCGCAGTTTTCGCAAGCACCTTTGCGATACTTGGTAGCCGCCGGGCCGGCTTTTCTGCCTCGATCATACCATTGGGATTTATCGTTCTTCTCTTCGCGACGCTGATGCTGGAGGTAATCATTCTCGTCGCCTTCTTCGCCGGCGTAGAACGGGCGTTTGCTGATGAAGGATGGGATGTAGATGTTCTCTTCCTTCAAGGCGGCACCAGCGCCACCAGGGCCAGTACTTGGGGGCGGTGGTTTTGCGGGTGCAGTAGGCATGTTGGGTAACGTGCAGCTTTATCCTCTGTTGGATTGTGCGAAGTGCCACACAATGAAATAAAAAACCGAAGCACCAAATGTTCAGAAGTCAAAACGGGTGATGCCTCAGTCGCAGATCACTGAGCCTAGAGCGGCAAGTTGTTTAGATAAGCGGTCTTATCTGCACGTGATCGCGCGCGTCTGCAAGAGGTTGGTAGCCATGGCAAAACGCGTCTCACAAACAGTCGAGGTTACACAAAGACCTTCAGAGTGAATTGAGCTTATTGAGAACACTTCTTTGAGCAATATTCGACTCTTTTGTCCTCAATAAACAGTTTTGAGCCCCTGATGGATTCAAACTTCGCAGAATATGGACTTGTTCCGGGTCAGACTCAACTGTATCGACCACTATCAAGCGACACCCTCGCGATATGACCCCCAGCTTCGTAACGACATTCGTCCCTCTCAGATTTCCAAGGGACCCAGAGTCCCTGTTGTTCGCGTGTTTGGATCTACTGAAACGGGACAAAAAGTATGCGCTCATATTCACGGCGCATTCCCGTACTTGTACGTGGAATATGAAGGAGGCTTAACTCCTGATGAAGGTTCGTTGAGTATACTAGTGAAAACCTATCAATACTAAATTATCTAGTCGGTGCTTATATATATCGCTTTCATCTGTCCATAGATCACGCGTTAGCAGTCAGCTACCGACGAGATCAGAAAGGTGACAATGCAAGGTTCGTAGCAAGGATCACGCTTGCCAAGGGTGTCCCCTTCTATGGCTTTCACGTGGGATATCGCTTCTTCTTGAAGATTTACATGTTTAATCCTATTGTCATGACAAGATTGGCGGATCTTCTCCAGCAAGGAGTGATTATGAAGAACAAGTTTCAGCCATACGAAGCACACCTTCAGTACCTTCTTCAATTCATGACAGATTTCAACTTATATGGATGTGATTATCTGGATGCATCTGTTACTCGGTTTCGATCCCCAGTCCCAGAATATGAACAGGGATCGAATTCGTTGCACAAATGGCACAGTCAATCAATTTCCGGAGATCACATTACCGATGAAACTACGCTTCCTCGAAGTAGCCACTGCTCGATAGAAGTGGATATATGCGTACAGGATATTATCAACCGATACAAGGTCAAGGAAAGGCCTCTTCATCATGACTTTACGGAAAGAACCAATCCGCTTCCTGGGGGCATGAAGCTTGTCTACAGCATGGCTGGACTGTGGAAAGATGAGACGAAGAGACGCAAACGCAAGATGCAAGATCCGTCTGAGGGCAGCAGCCCATTTCCTCCAGAAGTCCTTGTATCAATGTCAGCCAACGCTCGCGACTCTCAACCGCAAGGTTGGCTTCACGAGGAAGAATACAGGACTGAGATTCGGAATCTCATCTCTGAAGAAAAGCTTAGTGCCGACTCCGAAGAGCTTACCTTTGAGACGTTTGCGAAGCCGCATCCATACGAAGAGCATGTCAATACTACATTGGAATCAGTTGAAGACCTCTTCCCATCGAAACTTGCACCAGCTTTGGGATTGCCCTTGGGTGTGGAGGCGGAACAAGATCTGAGAAGCAGTATTGTCGTTGATGAGGGTAAAGTACGCCAGGCTGGAGAAGCGCACAATGACTTCTATCCTGAAGATTCCGATGAAGAGGCCATTGCGGCGCTTGTAGCAATAGAGAAGGCTGCCGCAAAAGGCTCTCGCGGACCAACAGACCAACTACCAGAAGAAGATCTTGAGCTAGCAGCAGCTCTCAACATCGGCCCCGAAGGATTTGATAAAAAGACATTTTGGAGGTCGACCCTTGGGGTCTGTCAAAGTGGCCTGGTAACTGGCCAACTTCCTGACATCCCAGTGAATCAAGAGTTGCTCGATTATGCTGAGAACGAAGGATTTATTGGACGGACGGAGAAAGCACCAACATTTACCTCGTCGAATTCGACCCAGCTCAAGCGACTGCTGGACGAACCTCTATCATCCCAGGCGTCCAACAAAAGGTTTAGACTTAATGAACAGTCTGTGATTGACGAAGATGAAATGGACTTGGTTCCTGTTCCCTCAACGGACGCTAACAAGAATCTCGCCCCCTCCTTCAGAGGAGCTTCTATTCTTAAAGGTCCTTCATCGCTCAACAAAAATACCGGTTCTGTATTGAAAGGCATTTCTGGC